GATCCAGCTGAGCTGCAGAGTGAGACTCCACTCAAAAAAAAAAAAAAAAAAGAAAGAAAAGGAAAGAATAGGTGGATCTTTTTACATGCCTACACTTGGAGCAGTTCCAGTGTTATAGAGTTATATTCATTATTTGAGCTCGAGGTGGGTGGGCCTCATGCCTGTATCTCCGAGCACTTGTTGGGAGGCGAAGGTTTGGGCTGGATTCGCGTTGAGGCTGCAATGAGTTGAGGACCGCCATGGCTACATGGCAAAACCCTGTTCTCTATAAAAGATAACAAGATATAGACAAAGGGGCAAAATGGTGGTGGCAGGTGTCTGGACAAGTCTCCCAGCTACATGGGGAGGGGTACGGGCGATGAGAACTGTTGACTAGGAGGCAACGAGGTTGCCATGAAAGCTGAATAGGGTTGCGCCACTGAAACTCCAGTCTGCAAGCAAAGGATAGAAGAAATAACCATGAGTGAGACTCATGTCTGCAAAAAAGGAAAAAAAAAACTGAATTATTTACTTTCTGCACCCAGCTCTAGAACTCTCTGAGGACCAGAGCTATGATTGTATATTAACCTTAATTCTGATATCCCTAGCACTTGTCGAATATATCTACCACACAAAGTAAAGAAGTATTGCAATAAATTTTATTGTACAAATTTTTTTTCCTTGTTTTGTTTTTTTTTTTTGGAGACAGAAGGTCATATGCTCTGATAGACCCAGGATGAGAGATAGACATAGAGAGCAAAAAAAATGATCAGTCAAAATGACAGAAGCGTCCAGGCTCCAGGAGGTGTAAAATAGATTCTCCTGCCTCAGCCTCCTGAGTGCTTGCACAAATTATAAGCGGCATCCGCCACCAAAATGCAACCAGAAATAATATATATATGATGGCAACCTAATTTGGGTTAGTAGAGACGGCGGATATATCAATGATTAGGAACCAGAGAAATAGGTAGATTATGCTTAGGCCTGTGATTACGACTGCCTCGTGCACTCCGCAAAGTGCTGAGGATTACAGGCGTGAGGGCAGCTGGCGCCTGGCCTACTTTTTTGTATTTTTAGTAAGAGAGGGGTTATTGGCCACGTTGGGCAGGGCTGTGGTCTAAATCTGCCTCAGGTGATCCACCCGCCTTGGGCGTCAAAAGTTGCTGGGATTACGGTGTGAGCACTGCACTGGCCTTCAATTTGTATTTCTGAGTTATTCATAATTCATTTCTTTTTTTCTTTTTTTTTTTGAGAATGGAGTTTCACTTTTGTTGCCCCAGGCTTGAGTGCAATGGTGAGTCTTTACTCACTGACTCCGCCTCCTGGGGTGGGAGTCTGTGTGCTCAGCGCCAAGTAGCTGGGATTAGGGCCCGCCGGCGGACCTGGCTTAGTTGTATTTAGTAGAGGCGGGTGGGGTTCTCATGTGTGCGGAGCTGGGTGCTCAATCGTGACGGTAGATATCTTCCGCTCGCCTCGGTGTGCGCAAAGGCTAGGATTGTACAAGCGTGTGAGGCCACCGGCGGGGGGTGCGGCTGTGTGGTTCCTGTGTTGTGTGGGGCCCAGTAGTAACCGTGGAATGGATGCGGCTGAAACAGGATAGCTCAGGCTGGAGTGCAGTGGCGCAGTCTTGGCTCACTGCAAGCTCCACTTCCTGGGTTCAAGTGATTCTCCTGCCTCAGCCTCCCCAGTAGCTGAGACTATAGGTGCATGCCACCAGACCCAGCTAATTTTTGTATTTTTAATACAGACGGGGTTTCACCATGTTGGCCCAGGCTGGTCTCGAACTCCTGAACTCAAGCCATCTACCTGCCTCGGCCTCCCATAGTGCAGGGATTACAGGCGTGAGCCACCGCACCTGACTCACATCTCCCTTTTCCAAAGCACTTCCCACCCTGCATTCTCATCAAGGTTCTCCTGGCTGTCTACCCCATGGCCTCTCAAAGCCTCAGTGTCTTCATCCATAAAGTGGGAGTAACACCTTCCTCTTGGTATGGTTTCTGGGATTAAGTGAGTTAGTATTCATAAAACATTTTGCAAACTGCTGAGTGCTATACAAGTGTTATCATGGCCAGGCGCCGTGGCTCACACCTGTAATCCCAGCACTTTGGGAGGCCAAGGCGGGCAGAACACGAAGTCAGGAGATCGAGACCATCCTGGCTAACACGGTGATATCCTGTCTCTATTAAAAATACAAAAATTAGCTGGGCGTGGTGGCGTGTGCCTGTAGTCCCAGCTACTCGGGAGGCTGAGGCAGGAGGATAGCGTGAACCCGGGAGGCGGAGCTTGCAGTGAGCCCAGATCGTGCCACTGCACTCCAGCCTGGGCGACAGAGCGAGACTCCATCTCAAAAAAAAAAAAAAAATACAAAAATTAGCCGGGCCTGGTGGCACACGCCTGTAGTCCTAGCTACTTGGAAGGCTGAGGCAAGAGAATCGCTTGAACCCAGGAGGCAGAGGTTGCAGTGATTCGAGATCGCACCACCGCACTCCAGCCTAGGCAACGGAGACTCCAGCTCAAAAAAAAAAAAAAAAAAAAAAAGTGTTATCATATAGCAATAAAAAATGCACGTTTTATTTGTAAATTGTGCAGAGCCATTTTAAACTTTAAAACACAGACTTTGACATGCCTATGCTGAAAGCCACATAGCTCTAAAGTAAACAAGACAGTGATGCAACATCAGAACCAAGCCTCAGTTTTGCTTTGGGTGAACAGGCTTAGTTGAAGAGCTATTAATCCTATTCATATTATGTAATCTTGGGTGGGGATTATTTTCATAAAGCCCTTCCAATTTAGAATTTCCTCTCTTCTTTGCTCAGGTGTACGATCCATAGCAGAATTTTTGGCAAAGTCTAAGTCAGAAGAGACCCAGGAGGAAGTGCAGGTTCTGTTGGATTCTTTGGTCCACGGCAATCCCAAGTACCAAAATCAAGTGTATAAAGGTCTAATAGCTTTGCTGCCCTGCGAGTCCCCCAAAGCCCAGCAGCTGTCCCTGCAGACTCTCAGGACTGCCCAGGTGAGCCAAGGCTGCATGCTCCTGTGGTTCTGATTCAGATACAATAATCTTACAATTACCTTCCGCAGTTGCGCTCCACACAGGCATGAGAAACGGAGCTCAGCCTCCCACTGCATGTCTGTTGTTCAATCAGTGTTACTTCCAGAAGGCCAAGGTAGGGCAGAGAGTTCATGCCTCCCAGCAGAGTGATTTGTCCTGTTTACTTAAGGATCAGAAAGATGTTGGCAGACTTAAAAGTGGTTGAGACAAGCAACAAGGATGATGAAAGGGCTGTAGAAAAGATTAAAGGAGTCGATTTGATAGGGAAAGAATAATGGTGCATTTGTAGACAGCATGTAAGTGAAGAGGCCAGATCTCCAGTGCTGGGCAAGGCTTTTTTTTTTCCTTGTTGGCTTTTGCCCTTCTCTCAGACAGTACCCTTGGATGCAAGTGAAACCGAATTTGGGGCATGGTGAGCATATGAAGACATTGTGCCTAGTAAAGAGGGGATAGAGGCTTAAAAAGTGGCTTTAAGATGAACCATCAGGCTAGGTGCAGTGGCTCAGGCCTGTAATCCCAGCACTTTGGGAGACTGCAGCGGGCGGATCACTTGAAGTCAGGAGTTTGAGACCAACCTGGCCAACATGGTGAAACCCCGTCTCTACTAAAAGTACAAAAATTAGCTGGGCGTGGTGGCACACGCCTGTAATCCCAGCTACTTGGGAGGCTGAGTTCAGAGGATCGTTTAGCCTGAGAGGCAGAGGTTACAGTGAGCCAAGATCATGCCACTGTATTCCCTGGGCAAAAAAGTGAGATCTGTCCCCCTGCCAAAAAAAAAAGACAAATTCAAAAATAATAATAACTGACTGCCGTGGCATGTGCTTATAGTCCCAGCTGCTCAGGAGGCTGTGGTGGGAGGATCGCTTGAGCCCAGGAGTTTGAGGCTGCAATGAGCTATGATGGCACCACTGTACTGCAGCCTGAGTGATAGAGTGAGATCCTGTCTCTAAAACAATTTTAAAAACAGATCAGATTATCATTATTGTCTTATTTCCACAGTTCCCATTTCTTAAGTGCCTCATACATGCCAGCCACTGTGTTAGGGGTGTACCTACACTCTCTCTCTTAGTCTTCAGTATACCTGATGGAGGCAGATACTATTCTTCCTTTTTTCAAAGATGGTGGAACTGAGCTCAGGAAAGTGTGTTAAGTGACTTATCCAAGGCCACATGATAAATAAAAGGTGTTTACCAAGCGAGAATTTAAATCCGCCCTCTCCTAAGTCCTTACTCTTTCCACATACCAATCTGCCTCTTGGAAAAAGGGCAATGATAGGGCCGGGTGCAGTGGCTTAGGCCTGTAATCCCAGCACTTTGGGAGACCGAGGCGGGCAGATCATGAGTTCAAGAGTTCGAGATCAGCCTGGCCAGCATGGTGAAACCCCATCTCTACTAAAAATACAAAAATTAGCTGGGCGTGGTGGTGTGTGCCTGTAATCCCAGCTACTCGGGAGGCTGAGGCAGGAGAATTGCTTGAACCCGGGAGGCAGAGGTTGCAGTGAGCCGAGATCACGCCACTGCACTCCAGCCTGGCAACAGAGCGAGACTCCATCTCAAAAAAAAAAAAAAAAAGAAAGAAAGAAAGAAAGAAAAGAAAAGAAAAAGGGCAATGACAGTGATAGATGGAAAACAGAAAAAATGGGGCTGGAAAATCAAGGGAAAAGAGTTTCCGTAAGGAGGACATGATCAGCTGGGTCAGATGCAACAAAGGGAGTCAGTAAGGGTAGAATAGAAAGATGGTCCCAGCAGGAAAAGTTTTGGTGAATTAGGAGACTGCCTATGGCAGGAAAAATTAAATCACAGCAGCCTGTCAAAGGATGAATAGGGGATGAAGAAGTGGCTTCTCTTGGGAAGCTTAGATGTAAAGGGAAAAAAGAGCAATAGCAAAGGAGAAGACAGAGTTGAAGGACGATGTTAAATATGGATGAGCTTAAGGATGTTTAATGCTAAAAGAAAAGAACCAATGCATAGGTAAAGTTTGAAGAGAGAGAAAAAAGGGGCTGTCTGATGGGATGAGGTTCCTGAGGAAGGGAAGATTTTAGGATCTTGGATGAGTTCCATTCTCCTTGCCCTGTATCCTCTCTCCCCCAGTCAGAGTAGCCAGCTTTGTTCCTGCACCTCTGGCAGGTAGCCTCATTTAATGCCTCCTGAGTTAGAGAGTTCAGTGGCAGCCTCAGCCTAGGCCCACTGACTCACCACTGCCCTCCCTTCCTCTCCCCCATTCACCCAGGCGCCTGGCTGTTTGGAAGTCTGTTTGGAAGTTCCTTTCTTCCAGGTAGACAAGATCTAAAGACTAACCAGCTTGGGTGGGCACAGGCTCACGCTTGTAATCTCAGCACTTTGGAAGGCTGAGATGGGCGGATCACTTGAGGTCAGGAGTTCGAGACCAGCCTGGTCAACATGGTGAAACACCGTCTCTACTTAAAAAAATAAAATTAGCTGGGTGTGGTGGCGGGCACCTGTAATCCCAGCTACTCAGAGGCTGAAGCAGGAGAATCGCTTGAGCCCGGCAGGCAGAGGTTGCAGTGAGCCAAGATCGCACCACTGCACTCCAGCCCTGGTGACAGAGTGAGAATCTATCTTTTTTTTTTTTTTTTGAAATGGCTCTGTCGTCCAGGCTGGTGTGCAGTGGGGCGATCTCGGCTCACTGCAAGCTCCGCCTCCCGGGTTCACGCCATTCTCCTGCCTCAGCCTCCAGAGTAGCTGGGACTACAGGCACCCGTCACCACACCTGGCTAATTTTTTGCATTTTTAGTAGAGACGGGGTTTCACTTTGTTAGCCAGGATGGTCTCGATCTCCTGACCTCATGATCCACCCGCCTTGGCCTCCCAAAGTGCTGGGATTACAGGCGTGAGCCACCATGCCCGGCCAAGAATCCATCTTTAAAAAAAAAAAAGACTAACCACCTTGTCCTGTTGTCTGTCTGGTCAGTCAATCATTGGGACCACACACCCCAGCATCGTGGACTGCGTGCTGAAGGTGCTGGGCACGATGCACCTGGAAGTCCAGTATGAAGGTAGGGAGGCTACTCTAGATTGCAGAAAGGGGTACCGAGAGCCAGGCGTGTCAGCTCTCAAAAGCTTTCTCTTAGTCACAAAGAGCCTTGATGTGGAGTGTCTGGGACAGCCTTGGCAGATGGAAGACGCTGGTTCAGAAAATGTCAGTCACACCTATGCCTTGCGTCAGCCACAGGGTGCCTAGGGTGCCTGAATGGTTGCAAGAACCTGCCTGGGTCCAGAGCTGGCTCTGGCTCCCAGTCTTATGTGGTGCTTCCTGGCTAAACAGAAATCACCCTGAGGAATGTCCTTCTTCTTTTTTTTTTTTTTTTTTTTGAGACGGAGTCTCGCTCTGTCGCCCAGGCTGGAGTGCAGTGGCCAGATCTTGGCTCACTGCAAGCTCCGCCTCCCGGGTTCACGCCATTCTCCTGCCTCAGCCTCCCGAGTAGCTGGGACTACAGGCGCCTGCCACCTCGCCCGGCTAGTTTTTTGTATTTTTTAGTAGAGACGGGGTTTCACCATGTTAGCCAGGATGGTCTCGATCTCCTGACCTCATGATCCGCCCGTCTCGGCCTCCCAAAGTGCTGGGATTACAGGCTTGAGCCACCGTGCCCGGCCGGAATGTCCTTCTTCTAAGAAACTAAACTGAATAGTCATAGTATTAATTTGGTTGGTTGTTTTTCCTGGGTTTTTTTTGAGACAGGGTCTTGCTTTGCTGCTCAGGCTGGAGTGCAGTGGTGCCATCATAGCTCACTGTGGCCTCAAACTCCTAGGCTCAAAAGATCCTCCCTCCTCAACCTCCCAAGTAGCTAGGACCACAGGTGTGCACCACTACGTCCATCTAACTTTTTAATTTTTTGCAGAAACGAGGTCTCACTATGTTGCCCAGGCTGGTCTTGAACTCCAGGCCTCAAGCGATCCTCTCACCTCAGCCTCCCAAAGTGCTGGGATTACAGGCATGAGCCACCGCACCTGGCCTATTTATTGAGAACCTCTGTGTGCCCGCCACTTTCCATACATCACCTCATTTACTTCTCAAAATAACCATAAGAGGCCAGGCATGGTGGCTGACGCCTGTAGCCCCACCATTTTGGGAGGCCAAGGCAGGCAGATCACCTGAGGCCAGGAGTTTGAGACCAGCTCGGCCAACGCAGCAAAACCCCGTCTCTACTAAGAATACAAAAAAATTAGCTGGGGGTGGTGGCATGTGCCTGTAATCCCAGCTACTAGAGTGGCCGAGGCACAAGAATCACTTGAACCCAGGAGGCGGAGGTTACATTGAGCCGAGATCTCGCCACTGCACTCCAGCCTGGGCGACAGAGCAAGATTCTGTCTCAAAACAACAACAAAACAACAACAGTAACAACAAAATAACCAGAAGAGTACAAAACCTGGTACATACTAGGTATTCAAATGTTTCCATGAATGAATGGTAAAGATATGTAGTTTTATGTTTTTCAAGATACAGCAATAAAGCCCAGAGAGATTAAGTATGCTTCCCAAGGTTACACAGCTATTGGATTCTAGCCGGATCTGCCTGACTCTAAAGTTTATGCTTTTAACACATAGCGCATGGCAGATATTTAAACGATATAATTTCCTTCCCTTTTCCTATAGTGGTTCAGAGGAAGGAGATTCTATTTTCAACAGGAGGAGATTAAAGAAGGGTTCACCGAGACGGTGGTGTTTGAACTGAGCTGTGGACAATAGGGAGGATTTGGGAAGGTCGAAAGGAGGAGAGGAGGTCGTTCGGGAAAGGGGGATGGTAGAAAGGAAGGCAGACAGGGAAGTGCAAGGTGTGTCCTGGGAATAATGGGTAGGTCACTTAGAAAAGGGATGGTAAAGGTCTAGGAAAGGTAAGCTAGGAGCAATGGAGGGGCACCTTGAATGCCATGTGGGTAGGTGGCAGTCTCTCCAGTAGGCAGCGTGGAGCCACTGAAAAGTGAGCTGTGCACAGGTGAGGGCTGAGGGAGTGCAGTGCCTCCGAAGATGGCCTGGGTGGTGCTATGCCAGGTGAGCCAGAGCCACAGGGAGCCACTTGAGACTGGAGGCCAATTAGGAGGCATTTGGGGTGGTTCAAATGACAAAAGAAGAATGTGCTGGTCCAGCTGGGTACATAGCCCCAGGAAGAGAGCATGGACAGCACAGGGAACTGCCTGGTGAGGAGAATGGGGCAGCGTTTGGATGTCGGAGTGGGCGGGGCCCAAGAGACCAGGACAGACAGGCCCAGTAATCAGGAATGGTCTGGCCATTAGTATAGGGACAGGGACTCCTGTGTCTAGGATGACAGGCTGAGCCCTAGGTTCAGGAAGCCTGGGGAGGAGAGCATGAGGAGCAGCCAGGCACTGAGATTCAGGTACACAAGTGAGATCCTGGGGAAGATCAACAAAGCTCTGGAGGCCACTTCCAACCTAGGTTATTTTTGGGCAGCAGTGCTTAAACTGAATGTCAGGCATATTATTCCTTCAGTAACATTGTCAGTTTTGTATTTTTTGACCCCTGCAAGCTCTGTGTGCATATGTGGGCCTTGTATGTTGAGAAATAATGCTATGCTAAAATCTGTTAGCAGCTGGAGCAGAGTGTCCTGGCTGGAGAGGAGTTGCCAGTGAAGGGGTGGAGTGGTACAGGGACCTAAGTAATAGTCAGACCCTGCACCAGAGGGTTGTCACTGGCATTGGAGCAAGGGGATGACCTGGTAGTAGAATCATGTTAGGAAGCTTAATCAAACGATCCCAAAGACTAGATTGGGTAGCACTGAGACCTTCCTCTCCCCACCCCACCTCTGTGTGGCAAACATGCCCACTCCTCCTCATCCATCCATCACTTCTCAGCTTAAGCATCACCTCTCTAAGCCCTTCCCTGACCCTGGCTTCAATCCCTGCCCAAATGTCAGCCCTTCTTCCTTTGAACCACCCTGCCCCCCGCTTTAGCCCCCCTCCATCAGAGCTGTGTTCGCTAAAATGGTACCTTCCCCTTACATAGACTGTGTGCAGTTTCAGGTCAACCATCATGGCTTTTATCCTTATATCCTCAGCACAGCCCTAGCATGTTAGGTCCTCACTGCATGTTTGTTGAGTGAATGAGTGAGCAAGTGAGTACTGCACATACGCACTGCATTAGTCATTACTCGCCTCTATGCCTTTCTCCTCCAGACCTCCCAGCAACTCCAAGGCAGGTACTGGGTCTGATTCATCTTATTCCAACTCAGGACCTGGAACATAATGGGTGCTCAGTAGAAGTCTGTGGAAAAAAAAAAAAAAAAACTTTGTTCTTTTTTGAAACAGGGTTTCACCCTCTGTTGCCCAGGCGGGAGCACAATAGCACAGTCATGCCTCACTCCAGCCTCAACCTCCTAGGCTCAGGTCATCCTCCCACCTAGGCCTCCCAAGTAGCTGGGACTACAGGCACAGATCACCATGCCCAGTTAATTATTTGTAGAGATGGGGTCTCCCTATGTTGCCCAGGCTGCCCTCAAACTCCCAGGCTCAAGTGATCCTCCTGCCTCCACATCCCAAAGTGCTGGGATCACAAGCACAAGCCACTGCACCCGACCAAAACAAAACCTCTTATGCTGATGAAGTCCTCCGGAGTTGTAACCGGCCACAGCTTCTTCCAATATCGCCCTAAGTTCAAGTCCTTCTGCATTTATTCAGTAACAGCTAACAGTGTGCAAGAGGCAGTGGGAACGCGACTCTGTGACTGCATTTGGTTTGTTATAGGATCATGTGATAACAGTGAAACTACGTGCCTCAAGGTCATTTTAGATATGTCAGACTCATAACAGATGCGCACAAAAAAAAGTCTGTTGAATGAATGTATTATTATTATTTTTTTAACCAGGCCCTTCAAAATAGTCTTCATATAACTCCAAATACAGAGAATGCGTATGCAATAATTGCCCACTAGAGGGCACTGTTTCACATGGTCCGCGTAGACCGGAAGTTGAGAGAGAGAAGAAATTCGCACGCCTTCAGTTTCCAATGAAACTCTGCCCGAGGGAGGGAAGAAAAGTTCCCACGGGTCCTCCATGTGATCTTAAACAGTGGGTGACCGGGGAGGATTAGAGAGTAATTTCTTTGAGTTTGCGTATACCAAATTGCAAAACCAGAGTGAAGCCCCAGGATGCTGGCAGCAGTCAGCACGGAGAAGCAGCCTGTGTCCAAGAGGAGCCTGAGTGACTGCGGGGAGAAGAGTTTAGTGGGTGACAGGGACTGATCTCAAAAGGGCAGGATTGGTTTGTTTCTTTAAACAAATATTTACTGATTATCTGTGATGTGCCAAGAACTGTGCCAGACACTGGGGTTTTGTTTGTGTTTGCTTGTTTGCATTGAGAAGGAGAAAACTGAATGTCTTGGAAGGAGAAGGGTCGGGGGTGCCCACTCCACTCCCATGTGGCATGTGTGTGGGGCAGAGTGGAGGGTTATTGGCATCCTTCCCCTGAGAAAGCTACAGGGGAAGTGGCATCCTCAGGGCAGTGTCCACTGACAACAGGAGGCGGAGAAGCTTAGGGGGCCTGGCGATTGTTTATCTTGCGGTGGGTGTCAGTGGTGGAGGAAGCTGCTGGTGGCCTCACCTCCTTTTTCATGAAGAACGCCACCTTCCCCCACATCTACCAACCTGCCTGACCGGTGAGTCAGGTTAGCCACATCCTCTACTCTTCTTCCCATTATGAGAGTGTCCCCAGTTCCTATCACAGGCCCCCTCTTCTGCTTATTCTCTGAAGCACATTCCCTCAAACACTTCCCTTCTGTAGCTTCTCTGCTGGACCATCTCCATTGACGTGCAAATATGCTTTCTATCTTCCTTTTTTTTTTTTTTTTTTTTGAGATGGAGTCTCACTCTGTCGCCCAGGCTGGAGTGCAATAGCCGAATCTCAGCTCACTGCAAGCTCCGCCTCCCGGGTTCACGCCATTCTCCTGCCTCAGCCTCCCGAGTAGCTGGGATTACAGGCACCTGCCACCATGCCCAGCTAGTTTTTTGTATTTTTTAGTAGAGACGGGGTTTCACCATGTAAGCCAGG